CCCAGGACCTTCTGGTTACCAGCTCATGATGAAATCCTCCAACCAATCAAAGGTAGTATGTGTTTAAGCTTCAGATAAGTGTGAAAATATACATTTGAATAAAACATTTTGTAGCTCATCTAAAAAATCGAAGTTAGTACATAATTTAGTGTGAGTGGGGTATTTGCTGGTAGAATTTTGAAAATTATGCGGATGCTGATACTGGATGCTTGACCTCAACAATCCGCAGCAGGTTTTTATGCGGCTGATAATACTCTAAACAGTTACCTAGACTGAAGTAAATGTGTAGAGATTCGAATCCTAGAAACACTGACTGAAGGCACAGTCTTTATCCTAATGAAACATGCTTCCACGAAGTTGACACTAATTAACATGTAATGCTTATGTGGTGTGAAAGTAATGATGTTGATTTAATTTCCAGATCAATATTTGAAATTTACATTAATCAGTGATAAATCATAATCCAATATCTCTTTTTAACAACATAAGACAATCAACAGTGTAAATTATTCCTCACATTATGCGAACAACACATCGGCTCTTAATATCCCTGTAAAACCTCAGTTTTTGTCAGATCCCATAAAACCATATACTACTGAACGATTGAGAGAAGTAGTTGTGTATCACTCATATCAACTAGTAGTGCTTGCTAGTCAGGTGGAGGTGTTCTAAACACTGGACTACCTTTTTGCCAATTTGAAGCCGAGCTCATCAGAGGCGTACCGAAACTGACTCAGCTCAGACAGCTGAATCATTCTAAACTACCCGCTTTCTGTGATCTGAATAATTTGATTTCCACAGGAAACTGTGGTGAAATTTTACCTCTTCGAACTGTCTAAATTGCAAATTGCGATCTACTTTGCAAGTTTCCTAATTTTTCATGATCAAAGACTGATCATTCATACTTAATATATGAAAAAAGAACATTGAATGGTTACCCATCAGTGACCAATTAATTTACACACTACAGTCTTACAGGAGATCAATCGCTAGCCCAAAAAACTTAATGGTTACGTCTGTGACTACAGCACTGGGTGATGCGGGTTCGAATCTCAGAGAGGACATGAGTTCCTTCAAGGTTTTAAATACTCCTTGCTGATGAGTGTCAACAAGCACGAAGCCTAGACCTAGGGCTTTCTGCCAATTGCCTTCAACCATCTAACATATGTAAGGAGGACAAGAATCGCGACGTTCATCCGTTTTTTAAAAAAACACTTTACATACACTTCATTTTGAATTTCTCTTCAGGAATTCAATGTCCTAGTATATTTTGCTTATTGCTGCACCATTCTGAATCATAGGACAGTTTCAGATAGAGTCTGATTTTCAATCAGCGTCGTGAAATTTAACACAGGAACATTATTCCACATAGATAATGACTAAATGTGTACTGTCACCCATTAAAATAGGGGAAAACTAATGCAGAACTAGGAGTTACGAAGCCTAAAATTTAACATATTGGAATATGCTTGCTACGATGGAAAACCACAAATTAAATTACAGTAAAACAAAGAAAGCAGATAAAATGTATGAAAACGAAGTTTGTATTAGTCACATAAACCATAAATCATTTGACTGCAGTATACGTGGGAAAATTCCACGATAGTAGATCCGATGATGGCAACAGAGACAATGTTAAGCGCGAAACCTATGGCTTGCTCTGTTGCTAATAACATAATTTTAGGCTCTTTTATTTCTCTCTTATTTTGTATTCTATAGTGAACTCCTTCTTAAACATACTTAGCTACCTAAATTATTGATATTGACTTACGTTTGTGTACTTTACTGTATTCCATCTTTTGTGTAACTACTGGTTCTGACTATATTAGCACTATGAGTAGTATAAAATTTTCCTGTCATTAACCATCATGTAATTATTAGTTTTTGTGGTTGTTTTTTTCATTTTTTATTTTTTTCGGCAATATAAACTGACAATCATTGGTTGTGAACGCCATTATCACCATCTTAAGACTTTGTATTATGCAGGATTACTCACACTACCACTACAAACACTGCATTAGACCTGACAATAAAAAACAAAACAACAACTCTGAAATGTTATTTAATGATTGTTTAGAGTTGTTTCAACCAAATTAACTGATCTTCTTGGCGATAAACATTCTTAAATATCATTTCATAACTTCTTGTATGACTATAGCTTTACTGTCACCATGCATAATCATATCATAGCTTCCACTAACCAATACTGAGATATTATTTTATTTTGGTCTATTTTCCTTTCTACTTCTTGGTAATTTTTTCGCATTTTTAAAAATTATTTTATTATTATTATTAAAACAAAAGAGGAAATCAGAAAACTCCAAGTCTACTCTTAAATGTATCATTTCTGAATAGCAGAGTTGAACAGGAGCAATTAAAGTACCTTAAGATATGATGAATGAAACAAACCATGCATACATGTTGGAAGGAAGTCAGTAATAGGTGGAAAGTATCTTAATCAATAGATTCCATGTCAATAAATCTTCGGTAAATAATATCAAAAGAAAAGTAAATGAAAGTCTAAATGTAAATATTTTCACTTTTTTTTGTCATTCATACTGATTTAATCCAACTGGTTCATTTAAGATATCGTATACACTGTGAGAAAATGTAGACAACGTAACTGAGGAAATTCTATAAGATATTTTTTCTTATAAGATATCGTCTATCACCAAGTAAGCAGTCGGTAAATAACTTCAGCAAGTTATATCATAACATTTACATTTTAATTTTATTTGCTGTTACAGAATATTTGTATCTGTGATTCACTAGCAGAATGCTAACCAACCACAGATCTGGTCCGCGATCGATTCCCGGGCAACTCACTCCTAAACCTCTTCTAACCGGTGGTTCACTGAGTAAACAGGGGAGGCTGAGTGTGAAACTAGCGACCCCACTTATTAAAATAACTCTTATTAACACTTCAGAGCCCAAGCTTAAAGCCCTATGGTCCACTGGAAACGCAAGAGAGTGAAGAAAAACTATAAATTTCTGTGAATGCGCTACTTCTCACAAATATAATTAGTAATAGTTGCGGTGGCTAAAAATCCCAAAGTATTATAGCGTTAGCTAATAAAGTTATTTTTCACCTTAGTTGTGAATTAAGCGATTACGGCTAGTTATGTTGTTTTGTAATAATTTTAAAAAATACAGACGCATAGGAACGATATACATTCCTACAGCATAACATTTATTTTATTCAAATAGTAATTAGTTTCGGATCAGCCGCTCCTGGATTACAAGCCTAAAAGACGACGGATACAAGAGCATGACCTTGATATTGTTTGAGTCACCATTTTACAGTCTCCGAAGAAAATAGGATTTTACATGGATTCCTAAGACAAAACAAGGTAGGAATTCAATGTGACGATGATTGTGAGCAGACAGCTATACAAACCTCACTTACATGAAAACTAGAAAAAAGTACAGCCAATTATATGAAGCTAGACATCGCCAGTCAGGCCCTGGGGTACAACTTGAATGGGGAACGACGAGTTAGGCGTCTGAAAGTAACACGGAAGAGATCGTGTGAGGAAGAGATGAGATCTTATGGATAGTCCTGGACCCAGCTAAAGAGTATTACAGAGGTCAGAATGAGGTGGAGCTGTACTGTTGAAGCTCTGTGTTCCACTGGAAACCTAGAACTAGGGAAGAAGCTAGGTCTTGTAGCCCAATCGGAAATGCGCTGCGTTAGTAACCCAGAGGTTACTGATTTGAATTTGTCATACATTTCAATCTTGAAGTAATTGATTTTAGCAACAGATTAGGGAAGTGAATTTCTAGGGAAAAAGATTAATCATATACTTAAAAATGAAGCAATTAATTTATCTAAACTGTTTTGTAGAAAACTGCGGAATACAGTCTTCACAGGTGAATTCATTTAGTGAATGCTCATCAGCACTTAAATTGGTAAACATAAGGTAGCTAAAAGCAGCAGCTTTTTTCACACATTCTTTAATAGATAGTCTAGATTTTGTTATCCCGTCTACCGACCTTGAAGTATGACAATTTTCAACAGGCACTTGTTTAAGTAATTCCAGCTTCTCACTTATTTAACAAACTGTGAGAATTTTTCCCACCTTTCAGCACAGTAAATACATTAGATTTATTTTCCTGCCTGTTGATAGCGAGCTTTGAAAATATGCACATTTTTTTTGCTTGTAAGTTGACTTTCTCAAGGAACCAACGTTCTTTCGTGTAGACAGAACCTATAGCAAGTGAAATTCTCATCTTGAACATAAGTGACTTATGACAGTTTCCAAACTTTCGCAATGTGGCCCAAAAGAAAATGACAACTATACAGCTACGGTTGTTTTGTTTTTGTTTATGACAGTAAGTCTCTTTGACTTCGGTTTAGATAACCATTACTCGCTTTAGAAACCTGTAAATTGGCATAGTTTAAGATTTTATTTTATTTTTGAGCAGAAGATAAGTGTCGTGCATCTGAATTCAAAATAGTTACATCTTTGGCTTTTATTAGATTAGACAATTCTAAATTACACCTTGAAGAAATTGCTATCACAAGTGTAACACATCTAAAAGTATATAAGCATATATATATAAGTATATATATGTATATAGCGTAGGTAGGTAGTTACCTGGGGTTCTAGTGAGAAGTCGTGACCAGTAGGGTGCAGCAGGTCGGGCGTGAGAACAAATACTCGCCGAAGACATTGGCTAGGGTCGCGCTATATCGTGAATTGGTAGAAGTTAGAATTCATGGGCCGTTGGATCGGGTCCCAGTGGCTTAATGGTATACGAGCTCGCCCTGTAACCAGAAGGTCCTGGGTTCGAATCCCGGTGGGTGGGTTCTGATAAAGAGTCCCAAACTAGGACGAAACTGCTGTCCCAATGGTTCTCTGACAGATGTCAGCTCATGATGAAAATCCTGTAACCAATCAAAACCCTACAAACCGACACTTGAATATAATTTAATTATTAATAGTTATAGTTTATGTATATATGAAAGGCTTTTGATTAAAATAAAACCCTTCACTAACCTGGTAAGTGGTTTTGATCAAATTTACTGTGAATATGTACACCTTCACTGGGAATTATCATGTGTAATGGATAACCAGAATTCACATTACAAGATACCGGAATATGATTTGTTTCTGTAGAAGTAGGCTGTGATTGATAACATACTGGATTATTCCACCAATTTTCATGTGTATGATTCTTTTGTTCCAGTGGAATATAATAACCAGATTTTGGAATGCAATTCTGATTATGACCAGCTTTCATATCTTCTGAGACATGATGACTACCATGTGAAACGGATGTTTGAGATGGTTGCCCACTATGAGCGACACTTTTCTTTGTTGGTACAAAACGTGTTGTAAATAATTCAGGCGGTCTTGCATATGGATTATCATCATCATAATAAACTACAATGTACAGAAACAAAGCAGAATACACTTTAGAAGCTTTTACACTTATCAGAAAGCCAAATAAATGAATGAAACTTTCTAAAATCATTTAAAACCCACTAGATATTTTATTTACATAGTAAAAAAGAATTAAAGCCTTGTGCAGTTTAGATAATTCTGTCACACAGATACACAACACTATTAACCAGGCTATTCTTTAAACAGATAAAGTGTACTTAATTAGTGTATGGTGACTAGCAGTGGAATCCAGGATGCACGTTTCGTCCTGTTTGGACTCGTCAGCTGGCGTTTGAAACTATAGGCACTGGGTTCGAGCCTCGGTGGGAACGTCATCACTCACTGGGGAATGCAGGTACATCCAGCTGACGAGTCCCAAACAGGACGAAATGCGCATCCTGGATTCCACTGCTAGTCACCATACACCAATTAAATTCTAATTACATGCCCAGACATCGTCGAAGCATCTGCACAAGAAGCCGACATGTCAGCCTGAGGCTGAGCACTTCGGTCCAATCAATCGACGGGAAAATCTAAAAATTCAATTAAATAGATAAAGTGTAAGTTGATTATTTCAAATCCTAATTTGTATACACCATTAATCTTTGACTTCAGTTTTGCCTGTTAGTGATGAAAAATGAATAATTACCTTTTCCTCATAGCTTAAAAATTTAAGTACACGTACCAAAAAGGGAAAGGTAGAATTTTTTCAAAAAAATGCATAAAAGCAAATTTTAAGGTTGTGAGATCACACTTGATTCGAATACACTTATCTAGGCAGTATCACTTCAACTACAGGCGATACGGATGAGGATGTCGAAGCCAGGATTGAAAAGGCAAGACAGGCCTTCATTACTCTGAAATCCCTTTGGAAATCTACTGTACAAGATTCGGATTTCCAAAAGTAATGTCAAACCATTGCTTCCATATGCTTCAGAAACTTGGTGCGTCATGGAAATCATTTCCAACAGTTGCCTTCATTGGCTCGATAGTGAAGACTGAACTGCCTGTCTGAAAGGATAAGCATTAATGAACCATGACAATGAATCAACCTAGAAACTGTCACCCAATAAATATGCAGAAGTCAATGGAGATGTTTTTCTCAGGACCTAAGGGAGTAATAATAATAACCATAATAAACACGTGATAAACCAGGTTCTTAATCTCCATAATGGTTAAGATTTTATTTTGATAAATCACACAGTGTTGTACAGTTATATTAACTGATAACTGTACAACACTGTGTGATTTATCAAAATAAAATCTTAACCATTATGGAGTTATACTCTACCACAGTGCCCAAGTTTTATACTTATATCAGGTTCTTAGACGCCATTAAGTAAAAAAATATTGTTTCACTGTGTAATCTATGAACCCATACAAGTGTATATGTGTAGAAACCTGATTACAATTCATGAAAACTGTCTAATCATGAAAAGGAACACAATTTAGCAAGGGTTTTCTACGCAGAACTCTTCAAAAAAGTTGCAGCAGTTCAATTTATCACACTTCATTAAAGCTCACATAACGGTAGAGAAAAGAAATTCAATGAAACTACAGTAAACGAAAATGTGTGACAGAAAATATAATTACTTGGAGAACAATAAAGACTTAATGAATTAAGAACTTCACAAGGATTGAATCTACCTGCTTATTCGGAACTACTCTAGCTCATCTCACAGGCGGTCACAAACTCATCAGCTTACTTTCCTTTTTTACCTAACAATCTACACCTAACTTCAATATTGCTTACCATATTATACCTAGAAAATAAATGGTGATACGTCTGGAACAAGTAATATAAAATCTAAGTGGTCAGTCTTTCTGACAACACTTCATGTTGCAAATACTGTACAAACAGCTAGAAAATCATCAATCTGCGTTTATGATTATGAAACCCAAGTGAGTTAACGAATTGGGTGACTTGCAATAAGTTATTGTATTATGTAACAATAAATGTCCTGTTTGACATAAATGAACCATTCATCAATTGTTCACCTATCAGCTTAACATTCATTCCCATGAATGTTGAGTAAATACACTGCACACTAAGAAAAAAGTATTTCGTTCATACACACAATAATATGACTGACTGACTGGTTCTAACATAGAACTTTGCACCGATGTGCAGCAGTTCGAGTTGCCACACTTCACTCAGCACACAAAGCAAGAGAAGAAAGTAAAAAGAAACGCAAAACAGAACCAGTAAAGAGGGATAAAAGACAAAAGGAATAGTAACAACGAAGAAAAATATAGTATCATTGGGTATTATAAGCCACAAGAGGTATATGCATCTGTGCCATTGAGAGCGATTTTGAGCCATATCACAAATTGTTTCTAGCCATTGGTGTTTACCGTCCCGAGGACCCCAACCATGAAGTCCAGACCTTCCCACATGGCTTAAACTAACTGTTGTGGATTTCATTGACTGGTGCCATGTTTGACCACCACTGGCTCTTTTCCAACCTGACCCTATGTCAGCTTACACTGCCCGTCGAGGAAGGCGATGGATTGGCATGCGTAACACATGTCCTAAACATCTCAGTCGATGTAACTTCACAGCCTCGTCTATTGATTTCCCCTCTCCACCCAGAACTCGACGCCTAACCTCAATATTGCTCATACACTAATATAAGAACTGAACACTGAACAAAATGAGACTGGGTGAATTTTTTTAATTACTAATTTTTTTTCATGATACCGATTAATTCGACGGTTGATTACACAAGGAAGATATTTGGTTCCATATAGGTAGGATTACTTATTCATTTCAATATGAGTAAGATATTCAATAACTTTCTTTACAGACATGATTGATCTGATAAGTTGTGGAAAAATAACTACTTAAAATGACACAAATATTCCAGAGACTTTGCACGTCACAGAGAATATTTCCAACAGTCTACTGCAGACTTCCATCAACAGCTGCCTTCATTGTCTCGATACTGAAGATCAGATGGCTGGCCGGAAATGATAAGCAACAATAAACTCTGGCAATGAATCAACCAAGAACCTATCATTCAACAAATATGCAGAAAGATATGGAGAGGGATTAGACATGCTCCGAGAAGACCGTTGGGTGATGTCACGCGCCAGGCCTTCGAGTCGAATCCAAATGGGAAACAAGGAGTTTGGCATCTGAGAGGGACATGAAAGGGATCATGTGAGGAAGAGATGAAAGCCTATGGGCAATCGTGTAGGTAGCTTAAAAGGACTGGAGAGAGCAGGATGAAATGGAGATATGCTATCAAAGCCCTATGTTTCATTCGGGACCCAAGGGAATAAATAATGATAATAAACCAAGTATTTATAGTAAAAAGCATAGACTTCAATTCAGAGTTAGAACAGGATAAGTGGAAAGCATCTATTAGCCTTTAAGCGTCATTGCGCTAAAAATTTAAAATACTACACGTTATCCGAAGGTGAAGTCAAAAAGATAATAGTAATAAAAGTATCTCAATTAGTGAATTATAAAAACCAAACCAGGAAAAGCATTCACCTGTCAATTAAATATTACAACCAATAAACTTCGAGTAAACAGAATGGATGGACTATTTTTTCCTACAGTAAAATCAATATGAGAAATGAAGACAAGACAAGCCCTAAGACGAAAAATCAAATAGAAATTATCCTCTCTCTAAGATTACCACAGATTTCTGTGTGGTAGAAGAAAGTGACAAAGAAATAGTAAAAAAAAGTCTACCTGAAACTTCTATATAAAAATTTTATTAAAATTTAATTTCTTAATAATTAGGAGGAATAAGCAAACTTCACATTTATGTGTAACCACATTAAAACAGGTTTCTAGATTTTTAATACAAAGTTGATCTATCAGAAAATAAGGCTGGTGAGAATAATGTCGGTGGCACAGCGGTAGAATGCTCTCTGACCACGAATGTAGTTCGGTCCCCGGCCGACGCACTCCTTCACCTCGCTAAGCCAGTAATAAGACTGGTAATGAGGGAAGGTTGGGCATGAGGCCAGCAACTTCATCCCTCAAAATTAAACACTACTGCTACCGAAACTCCAAGCCTCTAGCTTGAAGCCCTGTGTTCCATTGGGAAAGTACAGGAATTAAAAAACAATCAAAATAATAAATTCATTTATTATTGTAATAAAGAATACAAATTTGAGGTCCATCCAGTCAAGTGTGCGGATGGAGTTCCCACCGACGACACTGGTTGGTGGTCGCGCTAAATCATGAATTGGTAGAAGTTAGAATTCATGCACTAGCCACTGAACTGGGTCACAATGGCTGAATGGTATACGAGCTTTCCTGGTTACCGGAAGGTCCTATGTTCAAACCCCAGTGGGTGCGTACTGCCGATGATGAAACAGCTGTGCAGTACTCCCTGGTTTTCCAATGGTTCTCTAACTGATATCAATCCTTTTATTATTAATGTAAGCGGAGAATTTGGGTGCTGTGGTAGAATATAAGTCCATATTAGATAAGTTTATTTGATATAACACACAGTAATACGGCATTAATAACTAAATGATGTTTCAAGCACAATTTCCTGGTCATTATCACACGGCTTAATAACTTGCATAATATAGTTCTACTCCCTGTTTCTTCTTTATTGCAATCTTTTATATAATTGGGATGGGTGTTGCATCATTTTTATTACACGTGTTTGGTGCTGGAGTTAGGTGACATTTAAACCAACCAACTCATTCAGAGACAAACTTTGTAATTTTGGCTAGTTTGATTTTGAGAGAGACAAAATTTGTCAGCTGAATTAAGAAAAACAAAATAATTTACCAAATCTCGTATAATGACTGTGAGGCCAGTTACACAGGTCGAACTAGTAAATTGAGGTTAATTGGATTATTCGAACATAGAAATTTAGCTAAATCTAGAATGATTGACCCTGCTAAGTTAAATAATATTGAAGAAAGCGGGGCTATCTCAATGCATTCGGTCGCATGTAGTCACACAATAGGGTGGGATAGGGTAAAATTATTAAAATGTTTTTATTCCTTTATGTTCCCAGTGGAACATAGGGCTTTAAGCTAGAGGCTTTAAGTTTCGGTACCAGTGGTGTCCATTTTAACGGGATGGGGTTGCTAGCCTCATGCTCAACCTTCCCTCTTTACCAGTCTTATTATTGGCTTAGGGAGGTAAAGGAGTGTGCCGGCCGGGAATCGAACCCCGGACCACATGCGCGGTCGGCGAGCATTTTACCGCTATGCCACCGACGAACAATTATATGATTAAAATGTTATATATATATGGGTGGAGACGGAGGTTAATCACTGAATCTTCATTCATTAGATCAACACCAAACGAGTGTAATCGAAAAGACGCAACACCTATCTCAAGTATATGGAGGACTGCAGTCAAAAAGCAGCAGGCAGTGGATCTGTCCGTGGCATAGCGGTTAGGACGCTCGCCGACCATGCACATGGTCCGGAGTTCGATCCCCGGCCAACGCACTCCTTTACCTCGCTAATTTAGAAATAATGCTGGTGAAGAGGAAAGGTTGGGCATGAGGTTAGCAACCTCATCCTGTAAAAGCCACTAGCTTGAAGCCCTATGTTCCACTGGGGAACGTGAAGGATAAAAAAAAAGTGGATCTGTCTAAAGCAAATTACCAAGTCTTGTGAATACATTCATATGATAATGAGCAATAAGTTGTACTCTAAAAGGCATCTAGCTATTAACAATGTTTTGCTGTGTGCTATATCCAATAAACTTTACTAATGGTGGAGGGGGGCGGCGGAACAAACTAACTTTCAAGCCTATTATCAAGATTGATTGAATATAAGATATCAATATACGATATCTCAATAAATACAATTATCTTCACCTTTATTCAGTAATTAAGAAACTGATCTCATGTATTTTATATAAGTAGTACTTATTCTACATCACCGCAAAAGTTATTGTACTCTTAAGAAAAACAAAACTAATTAGTATTATCACTCACTGAGAATTATTGAAAAGCCTTCAAGTTAAAGCTTTGCTATTTAGAGATACTATTGTAACAACAGAAGACAAGGGCCAGGCAACAGATCGTTTATTAAGGAAATCAACACATATTTATATATTTTCATGTACATTATTGTAGATTATTGTTAGCAGAAAAACACAGTCTTCTGATTGGTTGTTTCTCACAGAAAGTTAACCTTGCATCTCTTTGTGGCTGTTTCTTGAATGTCAGATCATCTATATGCTAACTGTATTCGCCTAGGCAAATTCTTTGTTCCTATTTTCATCACGACCAATATTTGGGACATAAACCTTGACGTAAATTAATGTCTACCAATTTGGCTAGCAGCCAGCTCTCACCACACTATGACCTCTACTCCAGAGTGACCATAAGGCCAATCATAAACCAGTTATTCTCTAGCATTTACAATGTTCCTATCAACTTATCAAAAGGCGGCTAGACTTTGAATTGTACAAACAACAGAAATGGTAGCAATTCAAATGAAAAGAAAGCCCGAATTAAGCATCCAGAAGAAACAAGAAATTCCCAAAAGCCATGTGCATAAAAGGTGTTTGATTCTAATAATCAACAAGTTATGCACAAATCTTTCTAGTCCATGTTATCGTAAATTATTTATATCGCATTCATTTAATTTTATGCCCATAGATATATACAGTTAATTTGGAACTATAATCTCTCTTATCTCATCCAGCAGATGTACGACAATGCTGCATGCCAAGTAATCCACAACGGGAAACTTACGGAACCCTTCGAAGTGAGGACAGGAGTAAGACAAGGCTGCCTACTATCGCCAATGATTTTCCTGATTGCAGTAGATTGGATAATGCGACAAACAGCGGGCAATGAGGAAACAGGCATAAAATGGACTCACACAAAAAACTTGGAGGATCTGGACTTCGCCGATGATATATGTCTGAATTCCCACAAACTGGAAGATATGTAAGTGAAAAGTAACAAGTTGGCAGAGGAAGAAGCATCAAAGATAGGACTCCAGGTGAACATAGAGAAAACAGAGGTGATGACGATTCATGGGCAACACCACCAACAGCAACCACAACAACTGACAACAATCAGCATAAATGGGAGGAACCTGAAAGAAACAACCTCCTTTACCTACTTGGGAAGCATCGTTTCAACTACAGGCGGAACTGACGAGGATATCAAAGCAAGAATCGGGAAAGCAAGACAAGCTTTCACTACTCTCAAGTCTGTGTGGAAGTCAACAACACTCAGCATCAATAATGAGATCCGGATTTTCAACTCCAATGTGAAGTCAGTCAGTGCTACTATACGCGTGGAGCAGAGACTTGGCGCGTCATAAAGAGCATCTCAAACAAACTACAGACCTTCATTAACAACCAGTTGGATTCGCTCAATACTCAAGATCAGATGGCAGGTCAGAAAAGATCAGCAACAGAGATCTCTGGGAGCGAACCAACACAGCAGGAACCGATTATGAAACAAATAGGCAGGAAGAAATGGAGATGGATTGGCCATACTCTGAGGAAACCATCAAGTGACATCAGTAGACAAGCCATTGCTCGAGTGGAACCCGAAAGGGAAGCGGCGAGTTGGTCGTCAATGCAAGGGTCATTTGGAGGAGGTCATGTGAAGAGGAGATGAAAACGTGTGGGCAGACATGGGGCCAGGTGACGACTCTAGCAGAGAACCGAACGCAATGGAGACGCATGGCTGAAGCTCTATGTTCCTCTAGGAATTAGAGGAAACAATAATAATAATCTATCTTATTATCTGTATTTATTTAAATTTACCTAAACAGGCACGTAAGTACGCACGCATGCATGCACAACTCTACCTTCTATTCATGTAATCTAATCTTTGTTGACTTTCATAATCTGATGGAAGATAATTTACTTGATAACCCTAATCACAATCATTTGTTCACATGCTCCTCACCATTGCTAACATTATACTAATTTACTTTGAATAAAAACTCTGAGATAATTCATTTTGACAGAGGAGCTTCATGCCAAATATATATATATATAACTGTACAGCCTGAAAAGGAAGTTACTTTAGACAATATTCTTTATTCAATTATCTATGTTTCAAGTACATTTTAAAGTTGACATATATATATGCTTGCAAAAACCTTTAGTACATGCACATTTCAAACGAAAGGAAATATATTTTGAAGTGTAATTGACACAGCATAATGTGATTGTATAACAACAAATTAATGTAAACACGGTTCCCAAATTTATATGCACTTTTGATGTTTTCCAACGAAGTAAACATATTCAAAGCATCACATGTGTAGGACATAAGTCTCCGAAAAATATTATAAACGGCAATTATTTTGGAATCATTAAGATGGGAAAAGTGCTATGTGATACTGTTGCTTTTTGATATGATACATAAATATCATCGCAATTTACTTGGTAATTATGTTTCAGGTCATTTTAGATCAATATTTACTGCAAGTGTTTGTACTTCTCCAAAACAACGTTGCTTCCTATGCACTTAACAATAATATGATTGCGAGATTTGACAAAATCGGCGTCTATTTAATGAAGATTGTCAAGGTGTTTCCTGGACGGTATGTCACTGAGAAAATTAATCAGTGTACAGGGAACTACTTTTCTTCAGCTAAAGTAGTCATGCTATGGTACCTCTGGTGTAACTGCTTATATATATATTCCTTTCTGTTCCCTGCGGAACATAGGGCTTCAAGCTAGGGCTTTGAGGTTTCGGTAGCAGTCGTTTTATTTATACTAGGTGTGGTTGCTAGCCCCACGCCCAACCTTTCCATCTAAGATCCGCGTTTACTACCGGCTTATCGATGTTGAGGAGAACGGCGGCCGGGATTTAAACCCCGAACCACGTACGTGGTTGGTGAGTGTCCTAACGCCGAACCACCGACGCATAACTGCCGATATACAGATCTAAAACTTTCGTTTCACAGGAATCTTGATAGGTCTTTATTTAAAATGCTTAGGAGATATAATTTTCAAAGTGGTACGACCACAACAAGATGAAGAAGTTTATCATATATTTGTAAACTAAGAGTAAATTTAGGAAACACTGGAAAAGAAAACAGTAAACTATCCACAGAACAAGGAACTTATCCAAAGGAGTGCAGAAAAATTTCATTGAAATTAGAAGAAAGAGCAGGTAAAATAAAGAATTTGTAACAATGGCGAATTAATGGATTATATACATCGCTTCCGTACACAGCTTAGACGTGAACTAATGAGTTACACAAGTAGAAACTTCTCATTTCTTTCTATCAATACTGACTTTATATCTAAGCAACAGTAATTGAATAAACCGGTAAAACTGTATAACCATAGCAGAATGGACAGATAGCTTTTTTCCATTCAAGTGAAAACCATATAAATAAAATTTAGTGCTAACCTTTAGACGGTTGATTATGTTGACGGGGTGAAATATTCTGGTTCAAATTTTCAGGTCTCACAGCTTGAAATTCTTTGCTGTTAATCTTAACGGGACTATCTGACAGAATAGGTGTATTATTCACTGCATATTTCTGTTGTGAAGATACTGGGAATTGAGGAATTTTGTCAGAATCACGTCTAGTCTTCAAATCTTTTACATGTTTATTTTGAAATGGATCATTATTGATACTTTGCCACTGTCCATTAACCATTGAAAAATCTGGTTGACTTAACTCTAATAGTTTACATATTTCTAAATGTCCAGCTTTTAAGGCTACACGGTATGGTGTTCGTCCATGGGAATCAGTTTGTAAGGGATTTGCATTAGCCTAATAAAAAAAGAATGAAAAATACACAAGTTATAGAATTTATTCTTTTTTGGTATATTTTTAACTACTGAAATTCAACAAGTAGTAAAAGCAGTGGTCAAAATGATTTCTGAAAATGTCTATTGGTAAAGGAAATTAATTACAGAATTGATTTCAAAAATGCACAAAGAGGAAGCTGCAACTCCCCATAATGATAAACTCCTACTGAATTGATTTTCTTTCGTTTAGGTGTATATTTCGATTACCAGTAGCTTTTATATGTCTGAGTTTGTCTACGTGTGAAACCAAACATACAGTGTTCTTAAGTTAATGTACAGAACAGACTGTGATACACTGACGCACTAAGGGTAGAAATTTTGAGATATGCCAACTAATATTTCCACATATTACAGTTGTCACAATCATGGAGGCCTACTTAAATCACTGGGTTACCTGAATTTGTGTGAGAATGAAAGCCACTGCAAGGTGTTTTCGCGTATAGTATAGCAAACGCCACAACAGACATTCCAGCTGTGTAAAAGAAGTTGATGAAATACCTTTGAAACAGCTAAGGGTAACATGTGACATGATTGCAGCATTCTTCTGAGCATGTAACACAAAATCAGATAAGTTCGACTACCTGAGGGAACTTAAGCCGTAATTGACTAGCCCCGGGGAAACGAAAGCGTAGCAAGTTTGTTTTGATGTAACTTGAATACTTACTCCTTAAATTTTCTATCCATCTAAATGTATCGTATCCCTTAGATTTCATATTTTTCTAGTAATCCAGTTAAGTCCAACAACCACAATCTGTACTCACGCACATTTTCAAAAAGGAATCAGCCTACTGCTATGAATTTTTTTGAAGAAAATAGAGACAAGACAATAGGTGAAATATTGGAGTATAGTTCAAATTATTTATTGTCGATTATTATATTACTTGAAAATTCCGTTTAAGAGACAAATGAAAATTCTGTATTATATACAGACGTATTTTCAGAATAGAACTATCACTATTATTTTTAGTATTATTAAAATTTCGTCTTTCGTCTTCTTTGAAGTAGGTTCAACTTCTAAGTGTTAAATTATTTAATTTGGTTACTGAAAGTGATAATGAATGAAAATAAAAAGCGGTTGTAAAAAGAGAAAAGGTTTGGTAATCAGAAAACAGATGGAAACAACTTACTTGAAGTAGTACTTTACAAACATCTAAATGACCTTCTTGTGCAGCAATGCATAATGCAGTTGCACCTTGACTACAAACTGCATCTACTCGAGCATTGCCTTCATTCAACAATATATGGCATATTTCAGCATGACCTTGCCAAGCAGCCAACTGTAAAGGTGTTCTACCCTCACGGTCACGAATATCAACTGGTGTACCCGCCTGTAAAGAGAAGAAAAGAGGTTTAGATTTATTATACTGAACTGGATGCAATTCGTAAAAAGGTTAAGAAGAAATTCTTCATGGAAAGCTCTACAATGTTTTATTCACAAAATAAGTAGTATTTTATTAAGCTGTATATTCTTCACGTTACCACTGTGCACTTTATTAACATTTGTGAAGGAAACGGATGGGGGAAATTATTTCATGACAAAATGCATTGTGGATTTCAGTCTGATGAGGTTAACTTAGACGTGTCAGTCGAAAACAAGACTAATGTTTCACGCCTAGATCATTTCCTGTTAGTTGACTTTCAAATATGCAACAAATATGCAGGAAGAAATGGAGGTGGATTGGCCATACTCTGAGAAAAAAACTGTCAAGTGACATCACATGTTAGGCACTCGAGTGGAACCCGAATGGAAAGTGCGAGTTGGTCGTCTGAGAGTGACATAGAGGAGGTCATGTGAAGAGGAGATGAAAGCATATGGGCAGACGTGGAGCCAGATGAAAACATTGGCGGAGAACCGAACGCAATGTAGACGTGCGGCTAGAGCCATATGTTCCTCTAGGAACTAAAGGAGACAATAATAATAATGACTTTCATCCGCTTCCTCTTGGTGATATGCAAAACTACTTTTATGTTAAACTTCCAACGCATCAGAAAATGTTTTATTCAGTATGATAATAGAGCTTGTTAGTTATAGTCTAGTTTGGATTTTTCTATCAATAAAATAACATTCATCTAGTAATTTATAAATTTGATGTCAGCATGTACAAAGCTAAGCAACTGAAGCTAAAACAGGTGTTAATAAATTGTCCATACGATTACGGTTTGCAAGGTCTTCCATCAATAATATATGTGTAAAACTTGGGCACTGTGGTAGTAAGTAATTCCATATTAGTTTGTTTATTAGATGTATCACACAGTCAGTGAAACAGTATTATTTACTGGATGACGTTTCGAACAAAATTTACTGTTCATAATCATATCAATTATAATCACACGACTTCGAAACTTGAGTTTTATAGTTTTCCTTTTTTCTCTCCTATTTTTCGTAGGCGTAGTAGAATTTTCCAGATATCTGTGGACAGGTGTTGAAACATTCCTACTACCCCTACGACAAATAGGAGAGAAAAAAGAAAACTATAAAACTCAAGTTTCGAAGTCGTGTGATTATAATTGATATGATTATGAAGAATAAATTTTGTTTGAAACGTCATCCAGTAAATAATACTGTTTCACTGACTGTGTGATACATCTAATAAACAAACTAATATGGAAGGTCTTCCATCGACTGGTAATTGGTTCATCTAAGATAGCCCTAGTCAGTAGACTTAAATTAGTGTAAAAATATGATGAGTAAAGTTAGAAATTAAGTCATGGAAAGACATCCAAATATCTCGAATCAAAATCAGTACCAGTTAAAATTTATAAAGACTGTAGCTAAATTGAAACCCTACTCATTCAATACACTGTTGGTGATAGGAAAATTCAGAGGACACTGGCATAAATCAGTCTAGTTTACTCTTCATTTTTGGTTGACTCTGATTGTTAACTTATGCAAGAGTGAACAATAAACCATGTTCAGTCTATTCTTTCTGCATTATTACTCCATATTTACAAAACAGGCTTATATTGAAAAGAAAGAAATTATTTACGGCCTTGTGAACTTCACATTTATTATTGATTTTCTGTAGATTTTTAAACAATGAATATATAATCATATTAAGGGTGATTTTCACTTTTGTATCGACTTAATTGTATTGTTTTCCTAAGGGACAGAGACGAGAAACAAAACTATAACATTGATGTATTTGTTTAAGTTAATTTTGTAATTTGCGCCATGTTGGACTGGAATGATCCATGAGCTAATTAAGGTGATATTTTTTCAGTTGATAGTGACTAGCAGCGGAATCCAGGATGCGCATTGCGTCCTATTTGTGACTTATCGGCTGGAATTGCCTACCTTCCCAGTCGGTGACTAGATGCCCGCACCCGTTGTTTCCGACGCCTGAAACATTGTCGAAACATCTGTAGTAGGTACAGATATGTCACCTAAGACTGAACATTTCGGTATAATACAATAAAGTTCGCAGGAAATGCAAAATAAACCTAAACGAGCAATAGCTAGACCCGAGTGGCCTAGTGGATAACGCTTTGGTGTTAGAAGCTATGGGTACTAGGTTCGAGTTTCAGTAAGAACACCATCACTCACTGAGGATTATAGGTATATCCAACTTACGAGTCCTAAATAGGACGAGATACGCATCCTGGATCTCACTGCTAGTCACAATCCACTAAGTAACACTTTTTGAAGACCACTCAGTTGGGTCTAAGGATGTTCATGCATAAAGGCACGCCACATCCATTCAGACGCTGTCGTGTTATTGTGGCTGATGCATTCATTAACTAAGATTCCGACATTTCAGTTAATCCATGTAAAGCATTGCTTTAGGAAACCAGAACAACTGAAATTTAATGGCTATTTACCCCTATTTGACACCGAAAAACTGGAGACACCTATTTGTATGCAGCACTCTGAAGCTATTACGTCATTTTTCTTGAAATCCGAAGGCTTGAAGTTAATGTATATGAACACTATACAATTTATGTTGTACAAAGCCGAATTCTCCGTATTCCTTATGCAATAATCACGAGTCACAATGTATAATAATACAGAAATAGACAAAAGAAAGCGACTATAAAACCTAACCTTCATTCAGATATACTTTTAAGTGAAATATGCGTTCATATGATTTAAGTGTTTTTGTTGCCGAACTATCACTAGGATTCAGTTGAATTGTTAGAAAAACAATAAAATTTAGGAGAAAAAAAGAGTTTATGAACTGTCAAATATTACAACCAATATTACGTCATGTGTTTATATTACCACTAGTAATTTGTGTTCATGTATTCATTTGTGCATGTATTTGCTTACCAACTACAAACGTAATCGCTCAGATTACTTTAACTGATACAACTGTAAATCAATGTAATGTGCCGATTAGTTACCCGAGATTTGCAATAAACACTTTCAAAGTAACCAGTGAAATACTGACTTGCATACAATTACGCATACAATCACAACGTAAGACTAAGGAAACTAGTATTAATAATCAGCTGGTTTGGTGGCATAAACTTAGAATTTTTCTGACCTCTTTCATTATATAAAAAAATACTCGGGAACAAAATACTATTGATTCTGTTTCACATTGTATATATTACAATTATATGTCTAAATACAAGTAAAGAAGAAACAACACAATTTGATCCCTTTGGAAATGTATTTTTATAAATTAAGGCTAAGCATACGTAACCAGTTTGAATAAAAACTTCGAGTCACTTGTAATCAAATAATTAACGAAAAATGAAAACAGTTGTAGTGGCTTCTGGTCAACTCTATATTACCCTGTTTTAATGCATTTATTTCAAGACGATGCAGGTATTTTGAAATAATTGACTTTGCTAACAGTTGTATTTTGAAATATAATGAATTTATAAGATGGTTGAAGGCAATCATCAGGAAGCCTTGGACCTAGGTTTCATGCTTGTTAACACTTACCATTCAGTAAGGCGTATCTGAAATAATGAAGGGACTTATGCCCCTTTTGAGATTCGAACCTCCATCATCCAGTGCCACCTGCAGTCAGAGACGTTACATCTGAGCTTTTTGGGCTCACGATTGACCTCCTGTAGGATTGTATTGGATGCTTCGGCTGGACACTAGTTAGTAATTAGTGTAAGGTATCTAGTATTTTGTCAAATGCAGTCACGTTTGCAATGTGGCCACCTGCTGATTGGCCCCAACCGTCTAATATTAACAGTTCAAGGTGCACCATGATGGCGAGTCACCTAGCATGATGTCCACGTTCCGAAACTTGACTAATAGAATCCAGTCTACACCAAACAAAGGACTGGACGTATGACGTTATTCACTACCTAGTGTTCAATCAAATTATGTATTAAATCGGTCTACTCTTGATATATTTGACCTATTTTAAGAGCCAGTTATCGATGTCTCTTTATATATCTCTTAAGTTTATTGTGAAATACTTTACTGACGTTAGTGATATTCATTGTAACATGAAATGATTACATTTTTCAAAACGATACTTTTTTTAAATTTCAGCACTGACATGTGATTAACCCTTGAACATCATTTCGTTGTATATTCTTGTCCATTAATACAGTAGTGTAAAACGCCTCACTTAAATTATATTTTTCACGAGCCTACTTAACAAAATATGAAGCTGAATAATAACTGCCATAAGTGGTAATATTATTTAAAATTTTTATTGCGATTGCAGACAGATGTTATCCTTTTTTCATGTTGTAGCAAAAACCTGACGAATTTTCGCTAACTTAAAAAATGAAACTAGTAGACTTCTTATGAAAGAATCTAAACGTATACTAATGTTATTTGAAAAAGATAAAGATGTACATATTCAAACAGTGTGACTACTTTCCAAATAGTGAAGTACACACACGTGCAATCAGCATACCAACAGTTTATTCGAACTGTAATATTCAAACTAAAGGGAAAATATCTTTTGAGTCAGTATCTATTTTCTACACAAATCAGCATTAGGCGAATACTCATAGAATGATTTTTTAACATTTAATAGTGGTCCGATATTAATTTTACGAATACTCTCAAGTCTGCATGCTCGCTGTCATATGATGTTTTGGTTATATCTATTGCACTAAATCTAATTGGCTCTTGTTGTTATAGTGTCTTAAAATAACCATATTTTACAGTAACCCTCATTTGTATTTCAACTATTTTTGAAGGCTAAAATTGGCTTAGACCGGCTTAAAGAAGAGTTGCAAATTTCAGTCATTGACTACAGAGACAGATTACGTAATTGTTTGACTGAGGAACCTTCGACCTTATACTACCAATCAAGTTAGTTATTTAATCACTAAGACTGGCTTGATTATATGAGTTTCGGTTTTATTTTCTTTCACGTTCCCCAGTGGAACATAGGGCTCCAAGCTAGTGGCTTGAAGTTTCTGTAACAGTGTTTATTTTTACAGGACGGGGTTGCTAGCCTCATGCCCAACCTTTCCTCTTCACCAGCATTATTTCTGGTTTAGCAAGGTAAAGAAGTGCGTCGGCCGAAGATCCAACCCCGGACCATGTGCATGGTCGGCAAGCGTCCTAACCGCTATGCCACCGACGCACTTGCGAGTTTCGGTAGTAAGTATATATATAATATATTTTTGTTCTATAAAGTTGTCGTTCTTACCAGTACAGGCCAATCTAATCTTCTAATTTTTCCATGAGCTCAGTGCGGCAGAAGAAATCTAAGGTAGAATCGTCATATTCGGTCGAATTGGCCATAGTATTTCAGTATCACTCTACCCATAGAAGACTCCATATACGACAATGAAACAAAGTCCCAGTATTATCATTAGTCAGTAATAACGGTTGTGGAAGTTGCTGTGCTTAGTTAGAGTGGTTTGAACAGTTTACTGTAGTGTTAAATATTCCCCTGATAAAATATGTTGTTCTAAAGTTAACTGTAAGTCAACTTTGAAACTAAGTTACTCACACTGGAATCTCAAAGTGAAGATGATATTCATTCAGACTGCATACACGTCTTACCTATGCGTGTCAAAAACATGAAAGCCAAGTCTACAGGTTCTTAAATGACTATAAGCTAATTACAAAGCAGCAAAGTGAACAACAGCATGAAGATAACTGGTTTAGCTATCACACTGCATATCTATCTGAAAGATTTTCACTAGATATTTACATTTCTAGGGATGCATTGTTCAGCACGCATTGATCGATCAACGTACTAATAAAGTTAAGTGGTGGAATATTTGTGGTTATTCACTGTTGACATTTTCTAACACACTGTGGATTATCACAATCAATCCACATTGAAAGTTGAAATATTTATTCATTAACAGAATTTGAACTTTGTATACTATATTTAGAAACTAAAGTGAAGTTATTCCCACGGAGCTTTATGTGAAGCTGTAAGTTTTTGCCACTCTGTATATATATATATATGCTTTAAAAAATGCCTAAAATAATAGGCCAACAAAGCATTAAATGTATTAAACTGGCATAAGAAGCTATCTTAGACACAAACTATGCCTAGCGTAAGAATAAGACAACAGCTGACGGTATAATTGTACATTGTGTTATGCATGTATAGACTTGGTGATTGTTTCACGTCAAATGTTGTCCTGTATTTATTTATCTGTCAATAAGACTGTAATTTCTATGATTCATTACTCTCTGTATTGACTATCCGTCTAGGATATGCGGTTTCATTTAGTGCGATATCTGAATAGCTTAGAAAAACGAGAGAAGTTAACAAGTCTAACAAATGTGCTTTGAAAAGAAGCAGTTACCCATAAGAGATACTCGAAAAAACCTTCGCTTTTGTTTTTCAGCTGTTATGTAAATCTACTAAGTGATGCATACGAACATTTAAAATCATAGAGAAACTTAATAGCTCAAAATAAGAGTGAAAATTGTTTGAGGTTTTCACAGTTTTGATATTTATTTGTGGACGTTTGTCACGTGACCCTCTTTGATTTTAATCATTGTGGTGATTGATATCTCAAATATCTAAAGATTTTCAAGTGTTGGTTTGTAGGGATTTGATTGGTTAACAGGATTTTCATCATGAGCTGACATTAGTTAGAGAACGATTGGAAAACCTGGGAGTACTGGACAGCTGTTTCGTCCTGGTTTTGGGACTCTTCAGCTCATGATGAAAATCCTGTTAACCAATCAAATCCCTACAAACCAACACTTGAATATCAATGAGATGCTCACTTGCGACTTACTCTATGCAGGTAGGTAGTAACCTGGGGTTCTAGTGAGAAGTCGTGACCAGTAGGGTTCAGCAGGTCGGGTGTGAGGACAAATACTCGCCGAAGACATTGGCTAGCGGTTGCGCTAAATCGTGAATTGGCAGAAGTTAGAATTCATGGGCCATTGGATCAGGTCCCAGTGGCTTAATTGTATGCGAGCTCGCCTTGTAGCCAGAAGGTCCTGGGTTCGAACCTTGGCGGTGGGTGCGTATTGCTGAAGAGTCCCAAACTAGGACAAAACAGCTATCCAGTACTCCTGCAGGTTTTCCAATGTTTCTCTAACTAATGTCAGCTCATGATGAAAATCCTATCTGAAGATTTATTTCCATTTGAGACTTTGCATTCCCCTGGAATTCTTGAACAATGAATTGTTGCCTCTTCTGATAGCCTATTAACAACCTTGATCTGGTGACTTTAATCAGTACTTATAAGCTACTAGTAACTTATTTAATTCTGCATTTCAGTTTAGCAGTTTGTAACTTGCATCAATAAATTCGCTGTTATGTTATCAGACTTGCTTTTAAGTAATAAAAGTTACTAGTTTATTTTACAGATAAGAATCAGAAAGAAAAATATATTATTTAAACAGTGTGTATTTGTGATTGGTGGCACAGCGGTAGAATGCTTGCCAACCACGCATGTGGTTCGGGGTTCGGTCCCCAGACGAAGCACTCCTTTACCTCCCTAAGCCAGTAATAAGACTGGTAAAGAGAGAAGGTTAGGCATGAGGCTAGCAACCCCATCCCATAAAAATAAATACCACTGCTATCGAAACTTCAAAGCTCTAGCTTGAAGCCCTATGTTCCACTGGGAACGTAAAGGAAAAAAAAGTTTCGGTAGCAGTGGATTTATTTTACGGATGGGGTTGCTAGCCTCATCCCAACCTTCCCTCTTATCAGTCTTATTACTGGCTTAGGAGGTATTGAGCTCTTCGACATAACATCTTAAATAAAAATAATCATTTTTTCCCCTGAAGGTAGGAATTTACTTTGCATCAACTGGTGCTTTATGGACGCCTAAAAAATAAAGTTACCTACCTGCAACAATAAACGGACAAAATCAACATGTCCAAGCCATGTGACTACATGCAGAGGAAACCGTCCTTCATCGTCTGATAACACTGGATTGGCACCAATCAGCCTGCTAGATCCAGGACGAGCTGATACACCAGGAGCTGGACAGTGAAGAAGTAAATCGGCCATATCAAGTTGACCTTCTAATGCCAGCATATAAAGAGTAGTTCGACCATAAGCATCCTTTTATTTTTTTAGGAGAAAAGGCAAACACAAAATCACAAAATTGTCAAAGTTATAAAAAAATTTTACTACATGGATTTATCACATTGATGAATGTTATTTATGTTAAATAAACATGACTGGTAAAAGATTTATTGCTAAGAATTACATGAAACTCAGATGTTAAGAGTGTGTGATTGTTTTTTTTTTCTCAAACTTCTTTCATTCGAAAAAAATTGATACAAATAAAAAATGACGTCCGTATTTCTGTACTATTAATCCATGAAAATGTATATAACATTTTAAGATCGATAAATGTTATGTAAATTTAAAGATTCAGAGGTATTTCGAAAACTACTAAAAATTTATATAAAAAGAAAGAACTGAAATTATCCTCTTGATTAGGCTTCTTGCTCTGAATCTGTTATGTATCGCCATAATATTGTGTAATTATTCTCAGGGGAGGTTGTTTATACTCATTAACGCGGAATAGATCTTTCGTGTTTCAGACTAAGAGCCACACTTATCGTATGAGGATTAATGCTACTGCCCAGTTATCCAGGCTGGAGTAGGTGGAGTGGGACTCGAGCCAGTGACTAGTGGCTGCAAACCGAGCTCTTAAACTATTATGCCTTATCTCCACAAGAGACATTATTAAAGTTATTTCTATTCACTCAGACATCGGTGGTTGATGACTTTCATTTTCAGCTGCAATCCAATGTCAGAGATGAGTATTAATTGGTAATATACAATTTGGTAGAACCTTATTGTGTGTTATATGAGACATAATGAATATGAATAAATTCATTGAGAAAGTGATATTTAAAGTTCAATATGATTATGGAAGATAACTTGTGTTCGAAACGTCATTCAGTGAATAATACTGTTTCACTGTGTGATCTCTCTGGCAAACTAATTTGACATTTAAAGTTGTCTTTTCTTATACATAAAAATCCAAACGAACTGCTTTTGAATATATACTTATGTCTGTTTCTCCTAATCTTGTGCATTTTCACACGCCTTAGTTGTCTCATGTTTTATTAAGGTGAAATATTGTTCTCGGAGAAAACATTAGATATTTAGTTGTAAAACCTCATTGGTTATAGTCTCTGCAAATGAGTAATCGGTGGAGTTATAATATAACCACCATAGAGTTATAATGAAATCAAATGAGATATACAAAGTGGCTAGGTGGAAAATATCTTAACAATGCAGACATGATATCTAAATGCAAACTAATGCAAATAAAGCAGTATGCATCCAACACACATGAATCATATGATTTATATCCACACTACTGGCTTATACAGCAGAGTTCGAAAGCATCATTATGGTTACTTAGATCACTAAGTACCGAAAATCTATTAAAACTTTTATTTTATTCCTTTCAAAATATTTCTCTTCACTTGTATTATACTCTCCAAGAATTCAAAAGTGAAGAAGACAACCTAACTCACTGAGTCTTTGAAACTAATGTTGATTATCTTGAGAAATATTATGAAAAGTGTCACCAGTATGATAGCTGGTTCTGCCTTTCTGTTGCCTTTCAACATAGAACTTTGCACTGATGTGCAGCAGTTCAAGTCGCTACACTCCATGTATCACACAAAGCAAGAGAAGAAATGCAAAAAGAAACAGTAAACAGGGATATGAGACAAAAGGAATATTAGTATAGAAATTGGAAATTATAAGTCACAAGGATTGGATGCATCTGCACCAGCCATTGAGAACGATTTTGAGCTATATCACCAATTGTCCTCAGCCATTGGTGTTTACCGTCCCGAAGACCTCAACCAGGAAGTCTAAATCTTCCCTCGTAGCTTAAACTAACTGTTGTGGATTTCACTGATTGGTGCCATGTTTTGGTTTGACCACCACTGGCTCATTTCCAATCTGACCCTATGTCAGCTCACACTGCCCACTGGGGGTCAGGCGATGGATTGGCATACGTAACACATGTCCTAACCATCTCAGTCGATGTAAGCTGGTTACGTCAAAAGCATAAATAAGTGTTTGAGCCAAATGTTGAAAAGTCGGTAGTGAAGTGAGTACAAAGTCAGGATAATTAGACATTTGAAATACTTGTGGAAATTAACTTGGCGAAAATACTATTCTCTTAAAATATAGAGAATGGCAAGAAATCTATTAACAAGTAGTTGTGTTTCGTTCACAAGTAGTGTATTACTCCTTTAAGAGTCGTATTGAAGTCAGCTTTTGACTACTAATCAACTGTTCATATGAGAATCCTCAACAATCCTGGTTACTGACTCCCATAGCAAAATTATTCCACTAGTTTAAGTCTCAGTCTTGAAGTGAAACGGACACAATGTAAAATTCTGGACGATGAAAAGAAGAGAACAAGTAAGAAAATGATACTACATTGATAAAAATCGATTGTGAACAGAAAGACAGTCATAAAATAAATACCGGAAAAGATACTAGTTACTACTGGTTGATAGATACGAGTATTTGGTTACCGATCACAACAACCAGTGGTTCCTGAAAGTCAGGTCGAAGTAATCTAAACATTAGACGGTCATTTCACTCTTTTTTGGGGGGTGGCGAGATAATTGGCGGCGTATATGGTTTGATTCATTTTAGACAGCTGAATCAGTTCAAACCACCTGACCACCTGGCCAGCTGTTTGAGTGAAATGGTAATTCATTGAATTAAATTCGCAGTTTTTTTCCAGTTAATTCGCGCCTAGTAATTGACACGGTCTGATGTGAAATTTCAATTTAGTTTTCTTTGGAAACCGGTGTTTAATTCCCTTCAATCAGGCTAGCAATCAATACTGGTTGATGTAAATAGTATCCAACTACTCATATCAGTCAGTCAGTAGTATATAGCATCTCACATGCATGTTTGCTTTCTTATTTACTATTTACAATATAAACTAGATCGCATATTGTGTTATGAATAATTTCCGTTCCCAAAAGAAACGGTGGTGAAAGTCCCCCTTGAACTGTGTAAATTGTAAATTGCAAATTTGATTTACTAGGAAAGATGTCCAGAATTTCTAATAGAAAAAGGAGTGAGTACATCTTTGCCGAAAATCTCTAAAAATTCGCTCTCAGCACACTTAACCTTGTACTCTTGAGACAAGTGGCCACATCTACTTGGTTTTTTAGAAATTATAAAAAATCTCAGAACATAAAATCAGTCGAGCAACTGATCTAATTATTTCATAAACTGCTAAATCTATCATACTACTTAGTTTTCCACAACTGAATCTACAAAATACTTTTGCTGTTGTTCTTTTTATCTTTAGTTTACTCGGTAGTTTTTGTCCTTAAGATGGGTTTTGATAAACGATTCCGTTTTGCAGAAGTTCTATATGTTAAATATGCATTCAATCGCTGACATGGCGAATGGACCGTATTTAGATCCCTTCAATCTAGTAAGCAATAACTAATGGTTGATGTAAGTAGTTTCTAATTATTCACATCAACCAGAAGTATTTTCCATCACATAATTTAGCTTGCTTTCTTGGTCGTCAATTATGGTTTCAGACAGACCACATAGTTTGAAATGAATAATTTAGGTGCCCAAGTTAAACTTTAAGCGCCACTGATTATTACTGGAGTGCAACCGCACAAATGACCTTGAAACGCCCACTGAGCAAGTTAGTGAAACTTAGCATATAATGTTATCATCATCAATAAAATATGCTCATTGAAGTGTTATGCTATTTAATGGGATTTCTGGCAAGTTTCAGCTTAGGTTTGGAAAAGATTAAGTTACGCTTTAAGCCAAGGACAAGTTAGGGTTAGGTTAACCTAATAAAGGCGACGTTAGGGTTGTTCAAGTTAGATTACAGTTGGCGTAGGGATATTTTCACGTTAGGGTTAGGTTCAGGAAAGATAAGGGTTATTGTTTGGTTTAGAAGACCTAAATAATTACATGAATAGAATGTGGTTAAATTACTCTGTTGATATAAGAATAGTGCTTGTGCACTGTGGTAGAGTATAATTCCATTGTGGGTAACATTTATTTTGATAAAGTCTCATAGTGTTATACAGCAGTATTTACTGATTACGTTTCGAGCACAATTTATTGCGCAGGAAATATTACTGTATTACACTATGAGACTTTATCAAAATAATTTTTTCCTACAATGGAATTATACCCTGTTGATACTCCACCCTAAACTGGGAGCTATTTTTATCCCATGTGAGAGGAAGGCATCCTCTGTAACATTTTTCTACAGTTTTTATGCATTATTTCATAAATATATGTATTCCATACACAAAAATGCCTCCTTCATGTGATTGGCGCGTTCGAGGTCATTCGCTGATTGGTAGTTAGTGGTGCTTAAAGTTTAACTTTGCCATTTAGGTTTCCAAAGAAGACAGTGGTGAATTTTCATCCAGAACTGTTCAATTTACAAATAGCGAATTTGATTCTGAACTTAAAAGTTGATTAAACAATCATCCTAAAGTTGTTTAAACACAATGAGATATAAGTCACGAATTTTTAAGCGTATTAAGAAGCTTAACATCTCCAGGTTGATTTAGTGAACCCACAAGTTCTTTGTGGACTTGCTGGAGTAGATTTAGCATTTTTCTCTACAGCGAAAAAATCCATTTTATTGAATGGATTCTAATGCACAGTCGTCTTTGTGATGTCAGGCTGATTGTATTCGTAAGGGTAAAGCAAAAGGAAAAATTGGGACACTCGCAGATTCGTTTTCCCAATCATTTACTGAATGAAGCACTGACAAATTAAATGATACTATTAGTTAGAAACTGAGTGGTTCACTGTAAAAAAATATAACCCTCAGATATAATCAAACTATGGGGTAGGGGAACTAGTTCATCCGGGAAGGCATATTGGAATTATCTACAGGATCCGATACTGACGAAATGACAGAGATGTGCAAACTGTGGTATTTAATACATCTAACTGCAAAAAGATCTCAACCTACTTTAGTTTATATAATAAAAATAATTTCAAAGACAGTTATGGTTTCAGCTCACATTTAATTGAAACTCTTTATACGTTAAAAAAAATATACAATGGAGTAATTAACCATACTTCACAAAAATTTTCATAAATTGACAAGAAATATGTTTTCTGTCTTTTTTTCAAAATAAGACTAAAATAATTATAAATAATTTAAAATAATCCCAGTGTGTTTAGGAAAAAAATCAGAATGAATTGTAATTCCTGTCAAAACGTTAATATGGCGGTAAGAAACAGTTACCTGATGGTCTGGATCGGCTCCGTAGGATAATAAAAGCTTCACCATATCTTGATTTCCGTTAAATGCTGCTGCTCTCAACGGCGTTTGACCATCATATGAGGCTATATTTATACATGGATGTACATAGTGCGGTAGATGACCATGAGAAGAATTGGGATTTAATTGTTGTCGAGATTCAGATGATCCAGAGTGAGTCGGACTTCGACAGCTGAGTGGATCATTAGTTGAATAATTAAGAAGAATATGTACAGCGTTCATGTTGTTCGCTTGACACGCCACAAGTAAGGATGTACGACCTGCGTTATCAGTTTCTTCTAAACTAGCTCCAGCATCTAACAATAAGCTGTAAAATAACATTTCAAAGGTTCATTAGTATGATGAATCAACCAGAAAATAAAGTTGATTTACATTAAGATTAGGTACATTGCTTCCCTACCAAGAAGAAACTCTACTTGGTACAAAAATTCACTTATATGAGAAAAATAAGAAAAATAATAAAAGCTACTGAAGAGAAATTTAAATGGTCATTTGGAAGCAACCTCAGTAGGGATTCTGAGCAATTATTCGTTGTGAAAATAATTTTTGCAAACTAATAATAAAACTTTTTTAAGTAAGATGTAGTAGAGAAATCCAGAATGAGTGTTTCTTCTCATTCAAGGCAAGTCAGCCCGATTTTCTTTCTGTAACCCCAAAACTACTACTCACTTTGTCAAAAGCTAAACCATTATCCCCTAGGATACCAAGCAGTATTGGTTATTCCTCGTCTGACGGTAATCAGTGATTACTCCCTAGACTTGTGAATTTCTCCGTTAGTTAGAGGTCAGTTTCCTTGATACCCGTCTATGAATTACACCAGTTGTACGAGGACTAATATTAGTACCCAGCCATTCACGCTGAAGTAGACGGAAGACGGTTCGAAGCCGCGATAGACAACAGTTAATTTAATTAAACAGATGTAACCGGAATCTGTTAGCAATAAATGCTAAATCTTGGTTAATTAAGAAACAGGTGATTGTCTGCGCCTACAAATATTTCTTGATTTTCACTGCGTTTTATAGGCTCAGTCACCACCTAACCCCTCTAATCAGTGTAAATCCTTTCAAAATTGCAGATAGGTGTGAAAATTTCTCAAACAAAAAAAGTCAGACTGCTAAATGATGCATTCCCTTCAAGGAAAAAGAGATAGTGTAGTTGTTAAAGCATTTAATACAACTTTCATTCCTTAATTGTTCAAAATATTCAATCTACCTTTCGATTAACACATGGTTTGAATATCTTTATTTACAAATAAAACAGCAGTTGGACATTGAAATAAAGCCTACTTAGTTATGTCAATCTTACCTGAAACAAAAAGGTTCAAGAACACTGAATTCGATTTTACACTGACACCATCAGATAAAACATCTAGAAAACGATGAGATAGCCTGAAAAATTAAACTGACTATTATCTATCAATCAAGTAACCTCCTGAAAGAACACAGTACCCATTGGTTACTGAATCATCTCAGTCGGAATTAGGAGTGTCACTTATCAGTACAGCTAATTAAACTAATGAGTAATATGCACTCGTTTGTTGACAGAGTAGCAACAGAACACTATAGTATCTGGTAGCTAAACTGTTTATTGGTAAATTGATATACAGTAGTGTGGCATGTGCTACTGATAAGATTTATCAGTAGTACATATATACATAAAAAAATGTTCATCGGCATAAAACATCAAATAGCAGGGAGATGGATTTGATATCAGAGAAAGCAAATGATACAGCGTTGCGGAGATACATGGAAGACATGAAAGGAACACAAAGAAACACAGTATGAATGCCAGAAGTAGCACAACACAGAAGATCTGTGCAAATGGTGCGTTGTCAAATTGCAAATACACATTCCTTACCAAGTCTTTCGTCTTCTACGGTTAAATTGTCACAAAATACATAAATCTTACATTGGAATATCCCTTTCGACCTGTTCTCCATATTGTGTTTCTTTTGTCTTCTTTGCATCCTTTCTGTATTGTTTCACAAGGATCTTTCCTTCCCCCCACCTTCGCAACTTAATTCATCCTAACTCTATCCAACACTCTTGTAAAAGATATCGAATAAAATGCACTACTTAATAAATCTTGTCAGTAGCACATACCCCAGAATGGTTTTCTGCCACAATATGATCTCTTAATACTTCAAAATAGTTAATTTTTACCATTTGATCATAGTATTAATTTCATCATACTGCAATAGTGAACTATTTTAAGCTAAACTAATCTATGTTTGTAAAGGATATAGTTAATTATGCTATATGTAATTATGCATCGGTAGTACAGTAGCCTAATTCAGATGCACTTCTACCAAATTGCATTTACATATTTTTTTGTAGTTACTTAATAGGTGTATCAGCTGGTAACATTTATATTCACTCATTTACATGATAAAAACAAGTCGTAACAAGTTACATCAATTTAAATAAGAATTATACAGAGAAAGCGTCGCCTATTTTATTCGCAACTAGAAATTTTCTATCCTTCACGTGATAACATGATTTTGTCACCCAGTCTCTGCTAGTTTTACCTTCTATTTGACCGTGATAACATATTATCAGATCAAATTTTAGTGTCAGGTTATATGAAACGACAGTAGAACTCTCATTTTGTTTTATTCCTTCTTACCCCCAGTGGAACATAGGGCTTCAAGCTACAGGCTTGAAGTTTCGGTAGCAGTGGCGTTTATTTTTACGGGATGGGGCTGCTAGTCTCATGCCCAACCTTCCCTCTTTACCAGCCTTACTACTGGCTTAGGGAGGTAAAGGAGTGCGTCGGCCGGGAATCAAACCCCAGACCACATGCGTGGCTCGCGAGCATTCTGCCACTGTGCCACCGACGCATTGAATTCCCATTTATTGAATGCTAAACTTCTAGATACACCTAACTAAAATTACACGCATGAGGAAATTTAAATCATTTCACTTCGTGCTAAATACGGCGCTGAAGATGTTGTCCGGAAGGATGACGAAAGCTTCGCGACTAAACCAACCAGCTCAGAGAACGCTTTTAATTGTAAAATTACACACTATAGGAGGTTTCTTTATACGCTTATTAAGACAAATTATAATTAGTTATGAGCAAAAAACACTTACCGAATCACTTCTTCACAACTTTCATCTTGATTGTTTTCATTCTCTAGAGACAATTCACCATCACATGAATTTTCCAAAGTTAAATGTAGAGGTGTACAACCTGAATGATCTTTATGCGCTTCATCCAAACCACGTGCTAGTAATTCTTGTACAATTTGTGCATTTTTAATCTGTGCAGCAATGCTTAACAAAGAACGTCCTGCATAATCCATAATATCAACTGTAGCACCCCAAAATAATAGTAAGCGTACAATATCAGTGTAACCGCCTAGAACAGCTAGCATAACAGGAGTACGTCCAGATCTAATATTCAATAAAATTATTGAAAAAAGAAATAAAAATACTTTAAAAAAAAAGAAAGTTATATCAAACAACATACAATCAATTAAAAACTACACAGCTGATAAAACAATTTACCGATAAAGAGTTTATCATCACTGCCTATTATCAATGCAAAGAAGAATGAAAACAAAAACAGCAGTAATCAAAGAACAGTTGCTGTGTTTCAAGGAAATAAATTTACGATGCATCAAGGGATATACGCATTGCTTTCAAAAGCCATTATATAAATACTTAAGCTGCCATCAACGTGATTTAAGACATGTCTTTTACTCTAAGTTTATATAGCAGATATATATATATATGTATAAATATTGTTGTTTTTCATCAAAAAGCAAATTATTATAAATTAATGTTAATTATTTTCCACTATATATGACATCAAACACTTATGATAATGATAATCGCGTTTCAATATAAACTGATATCGGAATGCTTCTTTATTTTGACTTAATAGCAAACAAAATGGTTTGATGTCTTGTTAAAAGGTCTGTGGCTCATTTATTCACACTGTCAGTGCTAGTGAACATTGAATCGTTTGTTTATTCGAACTGATCTCCATATTGGTGGGGGACAAGAAGGCTATCATTGCTTAATCGTATACTGGTTGGCAGAAGATTGGAGAAATGCGATCAGCAGTATTGCTGTACATAATAATAACGTTTATTTACAGACTTTGGCATTGATTAACCATTGTAAATCTGTTTCATTATCGCTTGAAGAATAAACAATCGTGTTGCCTAACCGTTTTCTGTTATTCTACATCGGTTACAGTGAATAGTGTACTCCGTATTAGGCTTAGTTTTTTGAAACCAGCGATAGGTCCAGGATCTTTGAGATCTGGATATTTGACACAAACCTTGTACATGTTTGCAAATAAACGACGTGTGAAGCAGACAACCTATAAGGAAACAGTCATTTACTCCCTACCAGTGATAAAAATGTTTCCAAAACTATCATTTCTGTATTATTTGTGTGGCTGCATTATTCCTAAAGACCATGGAGTGACTATGGCTGTCAGTGTTAGACTATGACAATAGTGACTTTTTATGCTTAACCTCACACTCAAATATAGGTGCTTGGACCAAATTCTATCATTAATTGCTATTACCACTTTATAATATCTCTTTAACGTAATGTGCTGTTTAAGCTCAAGTCTAGGCAAAATTAATCTGACGCTCACTAGAGACTGGTCCTATTCAGGCAGTTAACCTAGGGTTCTAGTGGGAAGCCGTGACCAGTAGGGTGCAGCAGGTTGAAGGTGAGGACAGTTACTCCTCGAAGAAGACATTGCGAAGTGGTCGCACTATGCCATAAATAGGCAGAAGCTAGAATTCATGGACTGGCCATTGGATCGGGTCCCGGTGGCTTAATAGTCTGCGAGCTCGCCTTGTAGCCAGAAGGTCTTGGGTTCGAACCCCGTCAGTGGGTGCGTACTGTGAGGAGTCCCAAACTAGGATGAAACAGCTGTCCAGTACTCCCTGCAGGTTTTCCAATGGTTCTCTAACTGATGACGAAATCCTTCAACCAATCAAGCAAAATCCCTACAAAACCAATAATTGAAAATATCTTTGTGTTTTAAAACTGTTATTATGATGTTCACTTTTAGACAAAGGTAGTTAATATGTACTCAGATTATGAGTAGCAAAAGAATGTGAAGGTACCTGCAAAACAGGCAGAAAAACAAAATGTTCCGTAATTCCTTAAAATATAGGATAAATACATTCACCTTTCTTACTAACACTGCTAACTTAGATAATCAATAATAGAAGCCTAGTACATGTCCTGTAATTTCCATTGTCAGCTAAATTATATCAATGAAATTTATCTTGTGAATATTAACCTGTGGGGAACAAAATGTCAGGGTTTTCCATTCTTTGACATTTTTGGTGAATGTTTGTCACTCATTCATTATCAATGAATATTTCTATCGATAAATAAACTTATATTCTTTCCATATTATAGTTCCTATATTATTCTTTGTTGCCTCGGCAAACGTCATCATATAAACAGTATCTATTTTTCATTGGGCTGCATTGGGTGCATATGAACTGGTATTCACACAGGAGTCATGTTTTGCATATGACCAAAACAGGATACACAGTGGCAGTAAATGACTCATATATAACAAACACTAAAAATATAATTCACAAAAGTTAAAATACTACAGTGTCAATCATAATAATACATTCCATCCCTGCAGAGAGGAAGAGAGAGCGAGAGAGAGAGAAGGGATTCAGAGTCTAGATATCTTGGTGCTAACCTGTCTAACTACGATATCTGCTGGTGAAGATTTGTTCACCAAAGTTGGCACCAGTTTGTAAAACGTTTCTACAGTGCTTTGCTAATGAGAGAGATAAAAACGTACGAAAGAAATATTTCTGATTTCCTGCTGATAACTTCTAAGCACACACACACTATTGATAGTTTACCCTTTGTATGAACGCTAAAAATACACAAACGATACGCCTACTCAATTTGTTTAAAACTACAAAAGATTGGAGTGTTATAAAGGCTACAATTTTCGACTGGTGGATTTAGATGCAGCAACTGACAAACTGATTTCAGAAAGTCTTGACTAACAATGTGCATCACTACCGACCAGAATGAGAAATATTTGAGAAAAAATTGAACACGTGGTAAAATAAACAAAAACGTTTCAGATGAAAACTGATATTTCCTAAGTGACTGTTCTATTTCACTTAAAGTTTTCTCTGAACAACAAAAGTAACCCGTTTTTAAATTGATTTAAACGTAAGACATTTAGAGAGAATACCATTCAATTTAGTGACATTAACTAGTCACGTATGGGTATATTTCATTCACCGAGGGAATAAATATGTCGTAAGTATCAGTTAACCTTGAGACATCTTTATTGCTCAAAGAATAACCAAAGAATTCGAGCTTGTGACTATAAAGCTTTCGAAAAAATGGAGATTTGTAGCTCAGCTCGGATGATACTGAATTAGTTATGTTCTTTGAGTTGGTTGATTTATTTGCGAAGCTTTCGTCGTCCCTCCAGACAACATCTTTAGAGAAGGCTTTAGTATAAAATGAACTCATTTGAATTCTCCATGAATGATAGAATTGTGTCTCCTACCAAACACCATCGTGACTAGTTGTTAATTTACGTGTCTATTGATCATATTTTATTGACTTGGAATTCGGACTTTCTCGTCATGTGATTTACTTTTTATTAGCTGACAAATTTGGTCTGTATTAATGTGTTTGTTAATTGCTAATTCACTTGAGTAACAGGTTTCTAGGAATTCCGTGGCAGTACTTTTGGTGTTTCCCCTGTTCAAAATTTCTACATTATCCCAATCAAATAGGTGTCCATAGTTATCCACATGCATTGATATGAAAGAATATATATCATGACTTTTTACAGACAATTTGTGTTCTTGGATTTGGATTCGAAGGAGACGCCCACTTTGACCGATGTAATGTCTGTTACAGTTCATACAATTTATTTTGTAAATGGTATTAATTTTATCTTCTTTTCCTATTGGATCTTTTGGTTTCCACAATATCGAATGAAGTGATTGTACTGGCTTGTGTGCTATAACTATTTCAAACGGTCTTAATATTCTAGCTGTTATTTCGGAGATATTTTTTATATATGGTAGAATGACTTTCTTGTGGTCTATGATGTTGGCTTGTTGTTGGTGTTGTTTTTTGTTTTATTTCCTTCGCATTCCCAGTGGAACATAGGGCTTCAAGCTAGTGGCTTGAAGTTTCTGTAGCAGTGTTTATTTTACAGGATGGGGTTGCTAGCCTCATGCCCAACCTTTCCTCTTCACCAGCATTATTTCTGGTTTAGTGAGGTTTGGGAGTGCGTCGGTTGGGGATCGAACCCCGGACCATGTGCATGGTCGGCGAGCATTTTACCGCTATGCCACCGACGCACCTGTTGGTGTTGTTACTCGATTTTAAACACTTTTTGATGAAATTGTGAGGATATCCATTCTTTTTGAAAACGATTAGTAAGTACTTTTCCTCCGTTCTCTCCAACACTGGAGTGCTGCAGTTTGTTTGAACTCTCTTAAACAATGTCCGCACACAGTTTCTTTTGTGAGTAATTGGGTTATTACTATTATAGTTGAGTAATTTTTCTGTGTGTGTTGATTTTCTGCAAATTTGTGTTTCTAAATTTCCTGTGTTAGTTCTCTTGATTAAGAAGACATCTAAGAATGGAATTTTCTTGTCTAATTCTTCTTCTCTTGTGAATTTAATGTCTTCAAATATGTTGTTTATTAATTTGTGAGTATATCCCAAATCATTTCTTTTATTATTATAAATGTATCATCAACATAACGTACCAGATTTTCTGGTTTAATATATAGGTAGGGCTATTAATTCTAATCTTTGCATAACGGCTTCAGTGATTAATCCTGATATGGGCGATCCCATTGGTGGTCCTTTTATCTATTCGTATATTTGATTATTAAATTAGAAGTGTGTTGTAAGACATAATTCTATGAGTTCCATCCAAGTAGAACATTGTTTTATTTTTTTCGTGGCTACAGAGTAGTTGTTGCATAGCTCCTTTTGCTAGTTTTAAACCATTTGAAGAATATAATGCTGTGACATCAAAGCACACCATTATTTCATTGTCATCTGCTTGAATATTTTTAATTTTCTCTTTAGAGACTTTTCGAGCTTGTAACTATAAAGCTATCCTAACTATCTGCATATAAGTTCTGATGCAGGACTATAACTTTGGATATTTATAGGTTAAATAAACGTCTAAAATATCCAATATTAAGCAGCATAGTAACCATCCAATATTTTAAGACGAATGAGTATAAAGTATCTCTTTGTAAGCATATTTAATCAAACAAAAATCTATAAATGAACAGACAGTTTCTATGACAATGTTATTCCTGTAAGCTGTATTCTCCAAATATCGTTTTTCCGTTTTCTTATTATTGGAAATCATTGTGACAGGCAACTTAAAAGGT